TCGCATCATCCAGGTGGAGGGGAGTCTCCATTATCTCCGCTTTGAGTGGAGTGTCCAGAAAAGTGCTACATAAGTGTAAGTAAACATAAGTTTAATGGACTATTCAGCATCAACCAAAAAACCAGAAAACCCTAAACCCTTGATTAGAACTATAGTAAGTATTAGGAGCAAAATATGTGAGACAGAAGCTAGAGCATTAACAGGAGATGTGATGTAAGTGGAATCGTGTACAAGAGAATAACAGTAACTAATACGGCAGGTTGGTGGATACACAGCATTTTGGAGGGACAGGAGACAAGGCACAAGTGGAGATGGGTCTAAACAATGCAAAAGGCATTCAGGCACAGAAAATGAATCTAGTTAAATCAAGGGTCTCAGGAATTATCTATTATATGACCATTTACAAGCAGGATACATGATGTCAGAAGTATGCTACCAATCACAAAATTCAGATATTCATTCTAACACAGTCCTATATTCCTGATCTCATCATATGTGTATAAAGGTAGAAGCGATTGTCATGGGAAATGTACATTTTCCTCACAAAGATTGGGCAACATTAATCAGGATATCAGAAGTCAACATTGAAAGGGAGACATGCCTAAAGACCGCTTTCAGACTTAGTGTAGGGTACAGACAGCATTTAGGGTTTGTCCTAGCGGGACAGAGTGTGATCATCAAGACAGAGCATTAGGACACTGTGATCATAAGGTATGACCGAAACTTTACAGGTATAGTGCAAAACAAGGGCTTATAGTTCCAGGAAAGCAGACTATAATGGAAGGAGACAAAGTTTAAGGGGAAAGAAAGATAGAAATGATCAACTTTATTTTATATAGCGCCTTTAAAGGTGGCTTTTCCAAGCGCGACAAAGATACAGGAACAGTAGACAATGTCTGATGTTCAATGTTACTATGTTAAAATACACAGTAAATGATTTTTCTCAGTATTACAACTGGAAAAGAACAGTGAAGGTTTGAAATGTCAATAAAACACAGCGAGGGAACCAGATTCAAATGCACAAAATACTCAAAGGATCGACAAAGTCACCCCTGTGAATCGCTTTGGAACAAATAGGGAAGCAGTCCAGAGGACACCAGTAGAAACTACATGGAGGTGCATCGCGAACTGAGACCACGAGAATGAGACTGCGCTGTCTTAGCTGACACCCGGCTTCTTTCGAGAAACGGCCGGAGCGGAGTGCG